CTCCCTCTCTCTGCATGTCACCATCTAACCTAAGAGCCTGAAAATTCCTTTTTCTCAATCTCTGTGGCAAAGATTTCAAATGAAGGGCTTGCAATATGTATTTTTCCATATATCCCAAACCATTTATTTATCACTGCAAGGGAATGCTCCAGGCCTGGGTGTTTTCCGAGTGAGTTGAAGACTCAAATGCCCTCAGGGTGAGTGGGCGTGGACCAAAACCTCCACTAAGCGAGGAGGCCCTGTAAAACATGTTTTTCCCTAACTGAACAAACTAATTTTTAAATGAATTTTCCATGTTCACAGCAGCACAATTTACAGTAGCTAAATCTGGAAACAGCCCAAGTGCTGATGAGCAGATGAGTGGATAAAAGGCTATGGCACAGTTCTACCATGGAATACTGTGCAGCTGTAGAAAAGCAGCTCTTACCCTTTGAGACAGCACGGAAGGGCCTAGACAGTACCATGCTAAGTGAAATAAGCTGGTCAGAGAAAGACAAGTATCACATGATCACACTCATATGTATAACCTAATGAACAAAATAAACTGATGACTGCATGAATCCAGAGACACGGAAGCCTGGAACAGAGTGTGGAATATCAGAGAGAAGGCGGGGAGAGTGGGAGGGTGGGAAGAGATCAGCCAAAGAACTTGTATGCATATATGCATACGTAATACAGGAGCCCGACAATGGCAGGGTAAAGGCCTCGGGTAGGACAGAGGCAGGCTAGGAGGGGTCAATGGGGGGAAAGGGGAACATATGTAATATTTTCGGCAATAAAGATTTAAATTAAAAACATAAAATAAAATGACTTTCCCTGGAGTGTGAATGTCCTTTGTGCCACAAGAGACTGAGCCTTCCTAAGACCACTGGGTCTCAGGATATGTGCTCGAGACCAGATGGACGGATGTGAGTCACAGTTCAATCTCCCTATTTCACTTAGTGGCCCCAAAGCCGTTCACGTAACTTCCCTACGGTATATGGTTATAACGGTTTTATGATGTCACTGTTGCCAATCTCTGTGCCTATTTATAAACACAGCGTCGTCACAGTGTGGGAAGTGGCCACGCTGAGGGCTCACGGCTGTGTGGGAGGCGGCCACGTTGAGGGCTTGCACTGGACAAACGGACCAATGAGTAAGAGTGACGGCCAGAGCTTCTGCTGTGACCCGGCCTCCAGGCTACTGTCCACAGGCTTGTTTCCAGAAGTATCTTCCCGTCCTCCCCCGCTGTCTCGCCCAATATCTCAAAAGAGGGCAGAAAGGGAGGCACAAAGGAAAACTGACTTTCTCAGGGACATGTGTGGAATTCCAGTTAGCTAGAGCTTTTACTGATTCACCTTTAGAATGATGTTTTATTTTTTAAAATATATTTTATTGATTTCAGAGAGAAAGGGAGGGGGGAGAAATAGAAACATAGATGAGAATCACTGATCAGCTGCCTCCTACACACCCCCCTAACTGGGGATCGATGCCCTGACCGGGAATTGAACTGTGACCTCTTGGTTCCTAGGTTGACACTCAACCAGTGAGCCACACCGGCTGGGCTAGAATTACCTGCTTTTAATCTCAGCTACTTTAGAAGTCAGTTTGTAGCAATTCAAACTATTTGCAATTCAGACGTACCAAGTCACAACTCAGTTGTGGGGCAAGTCGGCAGTTCATAGCCAATAAGTGAAGTGACTGGAACTTGATTTAAATGTCTGTGGGCAGGTGACTCCTGCAGGGAGAGACTTCCAGCTTAGAAATAACCTTCAAAAAGAGTATGTCCTTCCCTCGCTGGTGTAGCTCAGTGGATAGAGCATTGGCCTGAGGACTGAAGGGTCCCAGGCTTGATTTTGGTCAGGGCACATGCCCAGGTTGCAGGCCTAATTCCCAGTAGGGGGTGTGCAGGAGGCAGCAATCAATGATTCTCATCAATGTTTCTATTTCCCTCTCCCTCTCTGAAATCAATAAAAATATATTTATGAAAAAAAGTATGTCTTAAATAGTCTACAGAAATCAACGGCATCTAACCAAAGCAACGCCAGTGACAGTGGCATCTCTGATGGAGCAAGTGGCCTGAGGTCACATGGACCCTCAGGGGATGGTCACTGCAGAGAGGGGTACAGGTAATCAGAGGCAAGACGGGGTGACAGCTCTGAGAAGCCAGTCACCTCTGAACACAAACTCCAACCATACCCAATGACAGAGACACAAACCAAAGCAAAACGACTGATAATAAACCAAAATATCAGGAAACCTCATGAGAAGGCCCAGAGAATTAAAATTAGAACTTATTGGTCATCAGTTATATTCTAGGCATATTATGTGCTTTTTAAAATATTCATAAAGCCACTTTTAACTGCACGTAAACAGGTGAGAAGTCTAAAACATTTTATTTTATAAATATACTCATGGCCCGGTGCATGAAATTTGTGCATATTAAAAGGGAATTAGAGGAAATATTTTAATATTGCTATTTGCCCTTTCTCTATAAGTGTCAGAGATGAAAGAAAATTAGTAAAATGTATATAAAAACCTTCCTCCTATCAGAGTCTGGGGTGTGCTGTAGGACCCAGTGTCAAGTCCCTGCCCACTCACGTGTGCCTCAAAATTGCGTGAGACCCAGACCCAGCTGTGCGTCCCCCCTCCCACACCCACTTCGACATTGGGCTAGATCCAGACCTAGCCAGTCCCACCCTTGTCAAACCCCACCCAGCAGGGGGTGAGCCCGAGGTCTCCCATCAAGCCCCACTGGGCAGGGCTGTGGCCTGAAGCCCCCCGTCAAGCCCTGCTAGGCTAGGGGCGCTGCCTGAGGACCCCCATAAAGCCCTGCTGGGTAAGGGGCACAGCCTGAGGTCCCCCGGCCTGGCATCAGGGTCGGGGTTGTGGCCTGAGGTCCCCCATCAAGCTCCATGGGGGTGAAGGAGGGGTGCAGCCTCATGTCCCTGCTGATTGCTCGTTAAGGCTCATTACAGCAACAGCCGCTGCTGTGGGTGCAGCCATCTTGTTATGGAAACCCCGCCTCCGCTGTGGGCGCCTCCATCTTTGTGGCAGAGTGACGGTCAATTTGCATATTCCCTCTTTATTATACAGGATTTTCGATGACCGGAGACAGGACTTAGTCAACAGGAGGAACTCTGTGCCAGCGGCCTGTGCCCAGGGCACCAGGTGCAGCAATGTCCCCTGGGGCTGGGGAGGTGGAGAGAAAGTAAGGGCGGCTCCATGCAAGAGTCTTAGGAATAGCAAATCCACACAATCTTAAGTAAAAATGGGTGATTTATTATATAAAATGATTGGCAGCATACAGAAAAATCACTTCTTGTTCACCTTGACATGTTTATTTGAGGTGTCAAGCAACAGTTGGAAGAGCTGGTTACGAACTACCAAAAGGTTTATGTTTGGAGAAATTATTCAAGTTACAAGACGCTAAGTAAATAAATGCATTTCAAAACACAGCAAGTGCATGAAGTGTGAGAGCAATGACCTTCAATGAATGGTTCCTTCAGCAAACCAACCGGCGAGGAGCATGAGAAAAGTCAAGTTAGATGTGGACCAAGTGTATTGCTCATTGTAAAATCATTAAAAACAAACAAAACAGAGAACTAAACAAGTAATTACGATTCAAAAAAGAGTAAGAATATTCTAATCCACGCATTTTCCCCATCGATAGACGATGTGGAGAGCATCCATGTGCTGCAGGCCGGGCTGGCCGAGGCCCCAGGCAGAGGCCGAGCCCGTTCCTTGCAGGCAGAGCGTGAGGTGCTGGGAGGAAGGAAGAGCACTGCCTGCCCTGACACAGAGAACTTACCCGCGGAGCACGCTCAGCGCAGGACAGGACGACTGCTTCTGAAGACGCTTCCCCGGGAGCAAGCCAGGCACAGGCGCCAGCCAATGGCCAGGCAAATGGGAGTCTCTAAGTTGGAAACTACTTGCCAAACCGAGATACAAACCAGAAAACCTGAATCCATCTATACTCTTGGTTGTAAAAAGGAAAGAAACCACAACACCGAATCTTTAAGTTCACAAACTAAACTACGGAGGTCAGGTGGTGCGTGAGTGACGTGCCCTGAGCGCGGGGAGTTGGGACGCGGCACCCGCGGGGGCTCACAGCACCGTTCGCAGTTCAGGGCCCTGAGTCTGATCAGAGAAAAGCAACTGGGAAGGAAGCAGCAAGCCTGCTCGCCAGCAGGCCCTGCCACACAGCTGGGCACTACGTTCACCTCGTATTTACAGTTTTAAAGCTACAGACAATGGGGACAACTACAGTGGAACACACACATGATTTTAAAGCTTGTTTGTAAAAAAGGCGTTTTGATCCAATAAGGCCACCTGAGTGACATCTTCAATGAGGGCAAGCCCACCATTTTAAAGGAAAAACATTATTATTTCAAAACCTAACGATGACTATAAAAGGAAGTGTTTAGTGAAATGGCTGGGTAAACTGCGCGCGACAGCCTTTGAGGAGCGGCGAGCGCACAGCCACCCCAGGTCTGCGCTGCCTCGTCAGCTCTGGCTCCGCGCCGCCCGGGAGGACGGGTGGTAAGAGCACTTCAGCCTCTACTCGGACCCTGCGTGACCGGCATACACGCCACGCCGCTGCTGGCGGGACACCGTCCCCCAAAGAAACAGGAAGCAGGTGGCCCTGCTCACAACAACCAACCGAGCACCTCTGCTCCCCTCCTGACATGGGGAGCGGGCCTGGACCGCTCTGCGAGGACGGACCGCACAGATCCGGGCTGTCCACACAGGCCGGCAGCACACGCTGGGTCCTTCCTCTGCTCACACGTCCTCAGAGAAGACACCCCACAGCACAGAGCGAAGGCCTCCGGGGCCACAGGGTCACCGTGCAGCCCACGCAGACAGATTCTCGCCTCAGAGAAGCAGAGCCGTTGGAACCGGTCCTTCTGTTTGTGCCATGACCTTCGGCCCGGCTCTGCCCCCCCTGGGGTGGGGGACGACGACACCCAGACAGCACCAGGCTCCGACAAGCATGTGCGCAGGGGGCGCCGCTGAGGGGGTCACACGACGTCGATGCCGCCGTCCGGCTGCCCACCGCTCACCAGCGGAGCGTCCAGCTCCACCTCACAGGCGCCCAGCGCCGCCTTCAGCTCCCCTTGCGCGCGATGGACCACGTAGAACATGAGGCCGACGCTGAGGATGACCTGGGGAGCAAACAGAGAGCCGTGAGCACCCGCCCGGGAGGAGCGGGGAGCGCCCACGCGCCGGGTTGGGACGCTTCTCGGGCGCGCAGGGAAGGGCCTGAGCGGTTCACACGGCCACCCTCTGCCCCGGCGTCTGCTGGGAGTGGGGCCGCAACTACGGGTGACCAGGGCTCGGCGCCAGGGAAGCACACGCGGGAATGCGCCCTCCAGCCCACACGTGACGTCATGTCAAGCCCGACCCTTCAACTGAAAAACCTCCCCAAGGACTGAGACGTGGCAGCAGAGGGAGCGCGGGCCGAGCTGCATGACGGCCTGCCTGGCTCCTGTCCGCACACCTGGTGATGCCCACGGGGCCTGGGCCTCCGAGCAGCACCGCCTCCCGCAGATGCAATACCTGGTGCGGTCACACGCGGACCATGAGCCACCACCTGAGAAATGAAAGGCAGAGGCTTCAAGATGACACAGACCACGAATGTGAAATGTGTGTCCTCAGGAAGAAAACCAAAGGAACTCTGACGATGGTGGGCATGGCGGAGAAAGGGAGTTGAAAGGAGGTGTCACGGACAGCCAGGCCCGCCGGCTGCTCGGTGATGCCAGCCCAGGGTCTTCACCCATCACAGCCCCCTCCACCCCCCGCAACGGTCGTGCCCAGAAGACGTTTTCTGAGGGAGACGAGGAGCCTCAGCTACTGACTGAGGGGCTGGGAGGAGAACATCCTGGGGAATGGGCCAGGCCGAGAGGGACGGAGCTCAGAGGGGCAGGCCCCGCTGCAGTCTGACGGAGACGGGGTGGTGTGTGGCTTGGGGGCCGTGACAAGGCCACAGGACGGAGGCTCAGACCCAGAGGCAAACCTCTGGCTCCGTCCCCACGCACGGGCTTCCCCCAAGATGTCCTTCCAGACCAAGACCTGCGGTGGGTACTGACTCCACACTCCACTGAGCCCTGATGTGGGGAAGGTTTTAAAAGGTTTCCTATTACACAGAAGCCCAACCACAGATGGGAGGAGCCTTCCAGCAGCGGGCGCTCCCCATCACCCTTGAGGCCCAGACAAACCAGATTGAAACTGGTTTCTTTTGAGGACCTGAAGCTCCTGGGAGCCGGGAAGAGCCGCGGAAAAGGGGGAGGAGGGAGACCGACCGGAGGAGGGAGATGTTCGGGCGCCGAGGAGCGGCTGACACCACACTGACACCAGCCCCAGTCTGCCTGGCCCGCGACCCCCAGAGGCGCAGGTGTGAAGATGAGACTCCAGCTCCTCCGAGGGGCTCTGGCTGTGGCCACACAAATACAGGAGACACACGAGGGACTGGACGGGGCCGTGGGTCCCAGCCTCTTTCCAGACACAGACTAGCTGGGCTGGTCCGAGCACCACATGCCACTGTCCAATGCTGGACCCTGCAGGCAGCTCTAACCCTGACGCAGAGCCTTGCCATTCCCAGCAGCTGAGGAGGGCCCCGGGCCCCCACTCCTCTCCGTGGGCACCCCTCCTGACGGATCCCCTCTCATCCCACACCTGCAGGCTGGCTCAGTCCTCCCGGGAACAGACTCCGCAGGAAGGAACGTGGGCGGCCCGAGAGAGGAGCCTTCTCTTCTCGTGGTGGTGGTGGTGGTTTTCGTAAATGCTCGCTAAGGAAGACTTGCTTCACCTCCATCTGTATCCTAAGGTAAGCTTGCCAGCTCCCGTGGGGTGAACATGGTGGGAAAAGAAGATCCTACACCTGCAGACACTCCACTGACCACTGACCAGTGCGTGCATGTCCCGCCCCGACACAGGACTGCAGGGGGTGTGTGCCGAGACGCACACAACACGCTGAGCATCTTGGGAAAGACGTGAGAACGAGGGTTTCTAGCGATTCACACCTAACATAGAGGAAAAGGGTTTCAAACGGAAACTAGAGAAGCAAAATGTGCTTAAATTTATATGAAAAAATACTGAGAATGCAGAGTCCACCAGGGCCTCAGGATGATTCTAAACAAATGATTCCACAGACAGAATGCACAGGAAGCTTCATGTAACTTGCATTCATAAAAATAAGCCAACTATAATAACTCTAAACCTAGATTCAGTTTATCTAAAAAATACATAGCTCTGAAGGCAAATGACAAAATAAAAATGCCTGACCCCCGCAAACAGCAAACACTGCCAAGTTTCCGTGCTGTGCCCTTTGGCCGACACGCTGCCCATGCAGCTCACAGGCCGACTGCTCACGCGCGTGTGCACGGAGCGTCACCCCTACAGTACACGGGCACCTCAAACCCCTACCACAGCGCTGCTGACAGAGCTTCTGTGGCCTGATGCCACGTCAACAACAGCAGGAATCAGAACTAACCAGTGCTGACCATCAGTCACAGTCACCGTCTCGCTAGCACTAGCTGTCAGCCAGCCACTGCACTTGCACTGTCTGGTGTGCAGACAAACTAGCTCTTGGGGGTCGGAGGTGGGAATTTTGATTTGCAGCACCGAGTGTAAATATTTCTTTTTTATTTTATTTTAAATACGGTATATTTTATTGGTACAGAGAGGAAGGGAGAGAGATAGAGAGTTAGAAACATTGATGAGAGAGAGTCATTGATCAGCTGCCTCTTGCACAATCCCTACTGGGGATATGCCCGCAACCAAGATACATGCCCTTGACCGGAATCGAACCCGGCCAACGCTCTATCCATTGAGCCAAACTGGTTTCGGCCGGGTGTAAATATTTCTGCCGTGATTAGTTTCATGCTAGCAATGCACCATCATGGAGGGAAGGGCTGTGAAGGGTGTGTCCAAGGTGGGCTTGAAACAATAAAAACACAAACCTCCTAGGGTTTTGATAGAAATTACATGAGCTCAACTACATGGCCAGGAAAGCACTCAGTAAAAAACAGCTGTCACGTCATCACCCACCACCGTACTTGATTGTCAAGATTTATGGATTTTCTATTTTGGTAAATCTCAGGAATAAAATGTATCATAACTAAACAAATAAACTAACTCTTCCTGTATGCAATTTAAGTGCACTAAATTAATGAGCCTACATACAGAACTTTTCTCTTTTATCAACATCTTATTAGCTGTACTGGTTAATAATGGCTTTTGTAATTAAAAAACACACGATAATTTCGAGCGAAACATCAAAGGTGGTTTATTCAAAGTAATGTCCATCGCTAGCTACACATTTCCCCCGTCTTTCAGGTAATCTGTAGATACCGTCCCAGTAGAACTTTTCTCATTTTGAGGCAAACCATTTAGAGACCCAATTTTCTACTTCTTCCTACGTTTTGAAGTGCTGCTCAGAAACTGCTTGTGTGTGCCATCGATCGAACAAGTGGTAATCCGAAGGAGCAAGGTCTGGTGAATACGGGATGGGGGTTAGGGGCAGTGGGTTCATACTTCCCAGGCAAGATCTATTAACGTGTCTTTAACTGGTTTTGAAGTGTGTGATGGTGTGTCATAATGAAGCAAAATTACTTTGCCATGTCTCCTGGAACATTCTGGTGGTTTTACAATCAAAGCGTGGTTCAAATTGATTATTTGTTGTTGGTAGCGATCAGTATTAATAGTTTCACCTGATTTTAGAAGCTCATAACACACCACGTGTTCCTGATCCCACCAAACGCAGAGCACTGTCTTCTTTCAAAAGTGATTTGGCCTTGAAGTCGATGTTGATGGTTGATCTGAATCAACTCCGTGATTCTGTGCATTTGGATTCTAAAAATAAATCCACTTTTCATCACCAGTCACAATTCGATGCAAAAAAGACTTTCTTTCACATTTTACTGATGACTTTTAGGTTTCCCATTTATCTTTCGTTCAGTTAATGTGGCACCCATTTTCCTTCATTTAAAATCTTTCCCGTTGCTTGTAAACAATCAGAAATTGCTGAGCAATGTTTAATCTTTTTGCAAGTTGTTTTTGAGCATGACGCTCATCTTCATCCAATAATGCTTGTAATTGTCTTCAAACTTTTTGGGTTGACCTGGACGTTCTTTGTCTTTCACATCGAAATCATCACTTTTAAAGCATTTAAACCAGCGTTCACAAGTACCTTGAGATGGAGCATGTTCACCATAAGCTTCCCAAAGTATATGATAACTTTTTTTTTCAAAATAAACGAATAAATTAAAACTTCCCACAAATGCTCTTTTTTTTGGCACGAAATTCAACATTTTTAAGCATAACAACTTCAGTAAATTTGACATATGAAGTTTTTTTTTGTCAATAAAACAAAATAGCATATATATCAAATCGCATATATACAAAACATATGTGTAACTACATCTATTGAAAAAATCCGCATTATTAACTGGTACACATAGTATAGGGTATTACATGTTCCCCAAACTACATTACAAAGTGCAGGATAATAATCTATTATACACATCTTATTTAGATTTGTAGCAGAAATCTTTACTTTTTAGGAAGCAATACTTCCTAAAAAATGTTTTCTCTATATCAAATTATATCAGAAAAAAAAATATTACCAATATAATATTCTAAGAAACAGAGAGTTCAATAATTTGAAGATAAAGTAACAAAAATAAAAAGCCAACCCCACTCTCACTAAAATAATTTTCCAAAACAGAGTATTAACACTTCACACTAACTCAATATAGTATTTGGTTTAGTGGTGACTGTGAAAATTATTACCAAAGAAAGAACCCGGTTTTTATCATTCCTTTTTGTTTAAGACAATCTTCAATTCAGTTCCATACTGGGTTGGCTGCTCATTAAGCCACTCCATTCTGGAATATAGCCACACAATTAAAATGTAAATACTGTCAAAGTATTACGTATGATTGAAAGAACAAGAAAATACATAAAAAGAAAAAATCTTCTTAAATTATTTTTATTAAATCTGTTAGGTGAAATCAGCAATGTTTTACAAGAGGGGAAAAGGCAGCCCTGGCCTTAAACTCACCTGGAAACAAAAAACTACGTATCCGCTCACAGTCTGCTCGGCAATGACGTCTTCCATGGTCCGCAGAGTGGTGCCCAGGTAGGAGTTCAGGAGCTGGGTGGGCAGCAGCCCCACCGAGGACGCCAGCAGGTAGCTGGGCAAGGGGAGCTCGGTCATCTGCAAGACCAAGGGAAAGGGAGGGTGACTCGCACAGAACATGGCCCTGGTTGCTCTGGAAAGCCGCCTCGGGTCACACTCCATCAGCACGGCAGCAGCAGTCCCGGCTCTGGAGCCAGAGGCCCCAGCAGCCTTCAGGGGCTGAGTGCCCCAGCCACCCTGTCTCTGAGCATCTGTCAGCCTCTTCATCTGAAATGAAGATAAACCACCTCCCGGTGAAACCAGTTTGGCTGTGGATAGAGCGTCGGCCTGCGAACCAAAAGGTCCCAGGTTCGATTCCGGTCGAGGGCATGTACCTTGGCTGCGGGCACATCCCCAGTGGAGGGTGTGCAAGAGGCAATTGGTCGATGTTTCCCTCTTATCGATGTTTCTAGCTTTCATCCCTCTCCCTCTCTGTAAAAACTCAATAAAATATATTAAAAACAAGCAAACAAAAACACCTCCCTACATGGCTGTGGTGAGGATCAGAGAGGTTTGAACAATATCTAGCAAGTGCCTAGCTCAAGACCGACACTCCATCAAGGCAGAAAGGGTCCTCGTGCAGCCATGTTCCCGCTGGGCTGCGGCCTCCGGGTCGCTCTGTGGACAGGGGATCCTATGCTTCTTTTTCTGCGGCTCTAAATGAAAACTCGGCCAGAAGGAGCAGTTGCCTGCACACTGACCAGGTGCAGAGGCAGGGTCTAAACGCCACAAAACTTCTCTCAGGACTCGCCTTCCAGCTAACAGACTGCCCGCCCTCCCTTCAGCAGGCAAGCAGCTCCCCGGGGAGGCCCAGAGCCAGGGACGCAGCCCCAGGAACAGAGATGGAGGCCTGCCTAGAGGTGAATCCAGGCTGGGAGCCGACTGAGACGGAGAGAACTGCACAGGGGCCTCCAGCCGCAGAGCTGGGAGGGCTGCTCATTAAGCCACTCCCTTCTGGAATGATCTGTTACACAACAAACCTATTTCCATTTTCCTAGGATAAATCACTCAGAATGGACCCATTGGATGGAATTATATAAACTTTCCCCCAAAAAGTCCCCAGTGATTGTATGTCTGTCAGTAACGCCTTTGTGTCCATTCCATCACAGCAACACTCAATATGACATTTCAAGCTTCCCCAGTTTGACAGGAGTAAATGTTTCATCAGTACTATTTAATACAATTGATATTCGTTTTAAAGTATGGCAAAGTGTTCACATCTGCCCATTTGTTAACTGGAACATTAAGTATTTTTCTTATGGATCCATGAGAGCTGTTTATGTGGCGACTATTTTCCTCGACAGTGTCCCTTAGGCTTTGAGATATAATTGTTTCTACATCTGTGTGTAATCTAGTATTACTATCTTTTCCTCTGATTTCGCCATTGCTTTCAGCTTTAGAGTCTCTTCAGAGCCCTGTTAGTTTTTACCTGTACTTTTTTATAATTGTCTTTTCCTTTGTAGCATTTACCACTTATTCTTTCTAGAATTTATTCGGCTTAAATGTGAGAATATGAAGGAGAGGGAACAGCCTATTCCTGCCCTTCCCCCACAGCCAATCTTCAGCATTACTTGTGGAATGAAGCTCCGTAGTGACTTGGGATGTTGGCTTCATTAGAAGTGAAGTGACTACATGTAGAGGGGCCATTTCGAGCTCTAATGAGGCCCACTGATACCCTGAATCTTATGTTGAAAGACCATCAGATAAAGAACTTGCCATCCTTCAAACCCTTCATTTCTCTCCTTTGAAAAACTGTCATAATTAGTCTTAAGGATAAATTTTAGGACTACTCTGTCATTTTAAAAAATTAATCAATTTTATATAGGATTAAGGTATATTAGGTCTAGTAATAATTGATGTCGTTTCCTAATACTTTTTTAAATCGAATTTATTTAAACAATACAACAAAATTTAATCAACAATATGGTTGCCGTTGTTTTCTACTACTTGTGCCCAACGCTCAGGAAGCATTTTAATCCCTCTGTTGTAAAATTCTTGTGATTTTGATGCAAAAAATTCGGTCAATGCGTTTTTGAGGCATTCTTCATTATTAAATTTTTTTCCAAGAAGAAAGTTTTGCAAAGAACGAAACAAATGGTAATCGGAAGGGGCAATATCAGGAGAATATGCAGGTTGAGGGAGAACTTCCCATTCCAACTGGCGCAGTTTTTCAGCAGTGATTCTTGCAGTATGTGGTCGTGCGTTATCGTGGTGAAGAATTACGCCCTTCCGATTAATCAGCGCGGGTTCTTTTTCTCTTAAAGCTTGGGCTAACCTTTCCAATTGGGCACTATACACTGCACTTGTAATGGTTTGGTTAGATGGTAAAAGTTCATAATGAAGAATTCCTTTAAAATTCCACCAAACACACAACATCACTTTTTTCACATGCAAGTCAGGTTTTGGCGTGGGCTGCGGAGCCTCATTTTTGTCCAACCATTGAGGCTGCTTTTTCCAATTAACATACAGCACCCATTTTTCATCTCCGGTAACAATTTGCTCTAAAAACGGCAAACGGTTTTGACAAGAGAGGAGCGAACTGCAAATTGTGACTCTTTGATTACGGTTGTTGTCGGTCAACTCATGAGGAACCCATTTTCCAAACTTTTGGACTTTGCCAAGTGCATGCAATTGATTGGAAATTGTTTTTTGTGAACAATTTAAAGTTGTCGCAAGCTCTTGTTGGGTAATTGGAGGATTTTGCACCAAAAGAGCTTGAAGAGCTTCTTGATCAAAATTGGACACACGGCCTCGACCACTCTTGTCATCTAACAAAAAATTTCCCTCGCGAAATTTCTCAAATCAACGCTGGCATTTTCTGGCGCTAACTGCATCTTGACCAAGAGCACTACAGATGTTTTTTGCAGCCTCACTTGCTTTTCTTCCTAATTGGAACTCGTAAAGCATGCAGTGCCGAATATGCTCTTCATCCGCCATCTTCTTAGCCCTAGTTTTGCAACAAAAACCAAACCAAACCAAACACAAACTTTTTCAAGCAAAACTTGTTAATTGCACTTCACACGTTCTATAGATGCCACGTGTTTGAAGGTTATGTCAATACAAGTCAACACCAAGCAAGATTTTAAACGAATGTTTAAAAACGACATTAATTATTACTAGACCCAATATTTATAAATTAAACTGGATAGAGGTGAAACCTCTAGAATATTTAGCACTTATCCAAAATGTTTCATAATTTCTCAGAATTTTCACATCTTACTAAAGTTTAGTTTTATTTATATGCATCATTCACTTATTTCTAGCATTTCATGTAGCTGCTACTGCCATGAATGCTGAGAACAACGGTGTGCTCCCGAGACCTGGTGCCAACAGTGACCTGGCACTCTCCTTCTTCCACTCCTGCTTTCGGTGAAGTCGCATCCACCTGCTCCCAGGTGATCCACTAGAGGCAGCTCTGCTGGTGTGGAAGGTCACTCACAATCCCCATGACAACGACAGACACATCTGCACCCCAAGGTCTTGGTGGGGCCCACGGACAGCAAGGCAGACACAGCTACCTGCCTGGAACCAGAACACTGCCAGTCCCTGAGGCCAGACAGAGGCAACACAGAGGAGGCAGGTGCAGAGCATTAGAGAGGACCAACCCGGCTGCAGAGACAGGGCAGGGGCAGCCTGGGGAAGAGGCACAGGGACAGCTCTGCAAGCTGCATCTGGCCGACAGGCAGGTGGGACTGGATAAGTGGGAGGCAGATAAGAGGAGGCAGGTGGGAGGAGGTAGATGGGAGGCAAGTGGGAAGGGGGGGGGTGGGTGGAGGCAGGTGGACTGGACAGGTGAGAAGGGGCAGGTGGGAGGAGGCAGGTGGGAGAAGGCAGGTGGGAAGGGGCAGGTGGGAGGAGGCAGGTGGGAGGAGGCAGGTGGGAAGGGGCAGGTGGGAGGAGGCAGGTGGGAAGGGGCAGGTGGGAGGAGGCAGGTGTGAGAAGGCAGGACCAGGCAGGAGGAACACAGGCAGGAAATCAGGGCTGTCCTGACCACTGGTGAGCGGTTGGGGTTGTTTCCAGGCCCACGCTGGGGACCCTGGGAAGCACGACAGGACACTAAGTGACACAGGGAGGGTCTGGGGTGACGTGGGGCATCTAGTTAAGGAATGACATGAATGGGGCCAAGCTTGAGGAAGGCTCCTGTTAGTTTGGAGCACTCACTGGAAAGAAAAACTTTCTTTGGAATAAACTTGTCAAGTACCTAAGTAAATATGACAAAATAAATCTTATATTGCAGCTAGTAGTAAAACATTGTATGTTTTGGAAGTTATCTCTAAAATAAATATTTAAGTTACAAAATATCAGAATAGGAAGAATCAGTCCATGTCTAAATGTAATGAAGTTTCTCTGAATAGTTAAAAAAGATCTTCTTCAAAAAGTATGGCAAACTATAGGATTATAATTTTTGCTCATTCAACAAAACTTTATCAAATGATTTCTACCCATGAGACCCCAATCTACAGAGATAAAGACAGGAAACACCTGCCTGGTGGTCACTGGGAGTCACTCTGTAGATTCCTGAACAAGTGCCCATCCATTCAGAAAAAGGCCACAGACGCCATCTGCTGCACTCACTCACCACGTGACTGAGGGAAAGTGGTGTACTAGCATCTGCAGAAACTAGAAAAACACACTAAACTGCTAATGACTGTTTTGTTCTTCAAGGAAAGATAATTTGTACTTTTCAAAGTTTTTACAATGAACTTATTTTGTAGACAGAATAAAAACCTGTTAAAGTTTAAAAAGACGCCAGCTTTTTTCAATCAAGAAAGAGTTAAGACATGCGTGTACATGGTACTACAACAGGCAAGAGGTCTGTGAGTTGTAAACCCAGGAACCAGGTCCCCAAGAAACGCAGCTCTTCTCCGGCCCGCAGGCCTGCGGCGTTCACGCCGCTCCATGGACTGGCACGTGCTGGGCTGGTCACTTCCCACTCCATGCCTCCCGTGCTGTAGCTGCTGCGGGGTTAGGGTTGATGTGAGCATTATATAACGTGCCGGTAGAAGAACAGGGCCTTCACTTAGTACGTGAACCATAAA